CCATTAAATACTTTTAAAACATCTCCCTTTCTATTCCGTGTTGGAGCTTGCCTCAAGTCTCTTTTGTTTTATTCATTTATGGGATGAGCAGGCAGTACTTATTGCCCATCCCTAATTGCCCAGAGGGCAGTTAAGAATCAACCACATTGCTGTGGGTCTGGAGTCACATGTAGGCTAGACCAGGTAAGGATGGCAGTTTCTTTCCCTAAAGGGCATGAATGACCCAGATGGCTTTTCCCCAACAATCGGCAATGGATTCATGGTCATCATTAGACTCTTAATTCCAGATATTTTATTGAATTCAAATTCCACCATCTGCTGTGGCGGGATTCGAACCCAGGTCCCCAGAACGTTATCTGGGTTTCTGGGTTAACAGTCCAGTAATAATACCACCAGGCCATTACCTCCCCATGTAGACAGCATCCGCTGCATTCTTCCATCATCATACCTGACAGTGCAGGGGGAGGCTGTCAGTAGGATTTTCCTTTCAAAGGCCACACAGCCTGCGGTAATTAATTTTCTGTTGCTGATGTAGAGGTAGGTTGCTGTCCTGCGGAGATGGGCCAGCCTCCAGCTATCATTGCCACCCTGGAGGATGTGCAGTCCTCCCCTCCTCTTATCGTAGAATCATAAAATCCCTACAGTGTGGAAGAAGGTCATTTGGCCCATCGATTTCACACCGCCCCTCCGAAGAACATCCCACCCGGACCCACACCCTACTGACTCCCTGCATTTCCCACCTTAGATACTATGGGCAATTTCCCATGGTCAATCCACCCTAACCTGCACATCTTTGGACTGTGGGAGGAAACCGGAGCACCCGGAGGAAACCCACGCAGACACAGGGAGAACGTGCAAACTCCACGCAGACAGTTGCCTGAGGATGGGATCGAACCCGGGTCTGCTAACCACCGAGCCAGCGTGCCGCCTGCTCCTCTTCCTGCACCTTTGTACCCTGCTCCTCACCAGGCACTGACCCCTGCCACATCCTCCTGTTTTTTCAACTTTCCCCTTCATTTGCCTCCTTTCCCACTCCCTCCCCGGCCGCCACCCTGTCCCTCCCAACACTCTCCTTGCTCGCTTATTGTACCTGTCCCCACTCTTAGGTAATGCTCTCAGTACTCTTATACTGACCCCACTTCCAATTCCTCTTGGCCTCCTCTGATCCCTCTCTCTATCATTCTAGGCTGTCTTTATACCCCTTCATATTCCAACTCCATCCTGCACGGCTGTACCTCTCCCCACATTCTCTCTCTCTCTTCTTGCCTTACCTCACTAGCCTCCCTGGAACGTCTGAGGCTGACTGACTTCGTAGAGGTTTATACAATCATGAGAGGCGTAGATACGGTGAATAGCCAAGGATTGTTCCCAGGGTAAGGGAGCCCAAAATTAGAGGGGCATAGGTTTAAGGTGAGAGGGAAAAGATTTAAAAGGGACCTGAGGGACAACATTTTCATGCAGAGGGTGGTGTGTGTATGGAATGAGCTGCCAGGGGAAGTGGTGGAAGCTGTTACAATTACAGCATTTAAAAGGCATCTGGATGGGTACATGAATAGGAAGGGTTTAGAGGGATATGGTCCAAATGCTGGCAAATGGGACTAGATTTATTTAGGATATTGGGTTGGCATGGACGAGATGAACTGAAGGATCTGTTTCTCTGCTATACAACTGAGTCTTTCCACACCCTCTCGTCCTCTGTTGTGCTGTCTCTCTCCTACCACCACTCCCTCTCTCCCTTCCCTGCTCCCTCTCTTTTGCCCCCACTTCCTCTCTCTTCCTCTCCCCATTCCTGGTCTGTCTTTCCCTGTTCTCTCTCCCCCTCATCTGACCTCGCTCTCCTGCCTCCGCTCCCCCTCTGTCTCCCCAACTCCCTTTATCTTCCCTCGTTCCATGTCTCTGTTCCCCCGCTTTCTCTCTCTCTCTCCCTCTCCTGTTCCCTCCCTTTCTTCCCTGACCTCCCTCCCCCTTTGCTGTGTCTCCTCATGCCCCCTACCCCATGCCCCTCTTGGCCCTGCATGCCTATCCCTTGTATCTCTCTGCCTTCGCTTTTGTTGCTGGTGTCTGACCTCCGATCTGCTGGTTGGGTTCGGCAGGAGACGGACTATGTCATGTCATACTTCGACAACGGCGAGGAGTTTGGGGGCGACAGCGATGACAATATGGATGAGGCGATCTACTGAGAGGGGGTACAGTAGTGTCCACGGGCACCAGGCACTGACACTGTGCCAGTCACTGGGCGGTGTGCGCCATTCCCACTCGTCGGAAATCTTCTGCTGGAGCCTGCGCACCGTTTGGATCCTTGTTTGCTCCGTGTGAGCTCTGGAAACTGGCTCAGGACAAGCAGCAGGGATTTGGACAGCGAAATCCCACTGGTCACTTGTGTCCAGACTATGTTCATTTGTACTCAGTGCCTCTCAGTTCGACTGTGGTTTGGCTTCCTGGTGCGCTCCAGTCTTGGTGAAATTTCTGTTCGACGCAGGAATTGCGCCCTGGGTGAGTGAGATGCAACGAATGTGGGGACTGCTGTCTGTTATTTAGCCACAAAGCTTTACTCATGGGCCTCCTAATTCCCTTTCGTCAGTCCTGCTCTCTCTCTCTCGCAGTATCACTGGATGTTTTGTACACCTTGACCCTCTAACCTCCCTGTGCTGCCAACTCTACTCCTGAGAAGGACAAGGACAGCAGATACATGCGCCCCCACCACCCCCCGCCTCCGACCACCACCCTGTGAGCCCCACACACTATCCTGACTTGGGAACGGTACCAGCCGGTCCTTCAGTGCCAAAACCCTGGAACTCCCTCCCTAACGGCACTGCGTGGGGTGTCCTTAATCTCATGGGCAGACTGCAGCAGTTCAAGATGGCGGCTCACCAACCCCCCACCCTTCCTTGAGGGGCGTTTACAATAAACGCACAATCTTCGGCGATAATCTCAAAAGCCAAAGGAGCGTTGGCCCAGCGAGCTGGCTTCACCAGTGGAACTTTACATGCTGCCTGAGTCATCGGCTCAGTTCAGCCCTTTGCTGCCAGGGCCTGATGTCAAGGAGCACCGTTCCCATCACTCGCCATCAGATGGAAAGCCGTTGGGCGCAGGAGGGTGGACAGAGAGCCACAAGTCAGCACTCGACAGCAAGAAAGGTCTGAATGCGCTCAGCAGTGCGTGAGCTTGCTCAGGGTGGGGGGTTTCATGGGAAGATGGCTTCCACCTCGCGGAACCAGTCACCCTGCTCCTGATCACGGGTCACAGGGTCACCAGCACCTGAGAGCTCGCTGCCTTCATTCCTTCAGTGCTGGGGACAACTGTCTGCTGAGCCCATCAAATGTTCCCCCTGCGTCAGCGATTCACCAGCAACATTGTTGGCCCAGCAACTGGAGCCAGTGGTGGGGGGGAGAGGGAGCAGGGTGGGGTGGGAGGGGGAGAGGGAGAGGGAGCTAGGGTAGGGGTGGCAGAGGGACCTGGGGGGGGGAGGGGGGGGGGGAGAGGGAGCGAGGGGAGGGGTGGCAGAGGGAGCTGGGGCAGGGGGGGGGGGGGGG